AGGATATATAATATTTGTTAGAAATATTCCAAGATATGCAAATAATATAAAAATATGATTTAGTTTAGTATAATTTGTAATTATTATTAAATGATGTGTTGTATTGTGAATTATATACATATAAAAGGAAAATATAAATAACTGTATGTCAAAATTGATTTATGAAGGATATGCATTATAATTATATTTTTTTCTTAATTTTTTAGTTTGTTTATTAAGTTTTATTTAAAATATTTTAAATTTTATGTTAATTAAATTAATTATATTATTTAACTTTCGTATTCAAATATAAGTTTTTTTTAAAATAATTATTGTAAAAAAATGTGATAAATAAGAAATAAAAGTTGGAAGAGAAATAAGTTTTCCCTCAAATATCTTAAAAATTGTACTGAAAAAAAAAATCAATTACTCTAGTTAAAAATAAGTGAGCACTTAAATTTTCCGTCATGTGAAGCAGTTATCAATTAGTTGGACAGAGAACATAAATATTATTTATGAAACCACAAACCTAACATAAATGTTATTTTATTATAAATAAAATATTATATTTTAAAGAAATTATAATAAAATTTTAAAATATATAAAATATATTAATTATGCACAATAAAATAAACAAAATATCTTAACAAATAATGATATTTTTAATTAAAATTTTGTTAAGGCTCTTATTTGGTCATTTAAATAAAATAGGTTTTTCTAATTTTATTAATTACGAATTTAATGCGATTTAAATTAATTAAATAACAAGAAAAAATAGCTAAAAGATTCTGTAAATAAAAAATTATCAAATTAATAAATCAAAGTAAAATAAATTATTTCTTATGATAATGGATGAATAGGTATTTTGTTTTATTTTTAAGTTAAATTATGAACAATGTAATTTTATACACTACTACAAAATATGTTTTGCACGTCGTCATTTATTCAAAGTCGGTTTTAATCAACCGACGTTGAAAGTTGAAATAATATCAAATTAAGAGAATTATCACTGTCGGGATTCGAACCCATTACATTAATTGTAGAGACCGATACTCCAACCACTAAATTATTAAGATTTTCCGATAATAATTTATAAATAAATTATATTTATATACAAATAAATATATATCCATGTAAATATATAAATACAAAATATATAAATATAAATATATTTTTATATTTATATATTTTGATATAATTATATATTTATATAGTTATATATTTACATATTTATATGTTGGATGTGAGAATGCGTTCGAGGGTGAAAATGTGTATCAAGTGGGTTTTCAAAATTTGATATCAAGTTTGTGAGCGAGTATCTTTATATGTGTTTATAATTTAATGATAGAATATAATCTTTATAATTTATTTATATAATGATATAAAATAATTTTTTCAAATTTTAAAAATTATTAAATATTTATTTTTAAAATTATTTTATTTAATAAATTATTATAAATTAATCTATGTCTGGAAAAAATAATTATTAAAAGATGATTTTGATTAATTTATAATAATTTATGTAAGGAAAAAATTGTTCTATTATAATTAGATTAAATTTGGTATCAAATTTTGAAGATCCACGCGACACACACTTTCACTCTCGAGCGCTCTCACATCCAACATATAAATATATAAATATATATTATATAAATATATCAAAATATATAAATATATTTGTATTTATATTTTTTATATTTATATATTTTATATTTATATATTTACACAGTATATACATTAATTTGTATATAAATATAATTTATTTATAAGTTATTATCGAGAAAATTCTAGTAGTTTAGTGGTTGGAGTATTAACCTTTAACTCTAAAGTATTTTGTTCGAATCCCGTCGGTGACAATTCTCTTAAAACAACAATATAATAAATAATAAAAATATAAACTGAAGGGAAACCTCTAGATAAATAAAAAGGGATTATAAAAAATTCAAACTTTCTACATCTCGGAACCATATTTTTAGTTATTTATTTTATAATTTTACATGTTTTGATTATAAGTTTTTTCATTGATTCCTCAATATATATAATATTTTTTATTTTTTGTGACGGGGTTAGATAAAAGTTGGATATAGGACAGAGCCTTTGTATAAAAAAGGGTTATTGATTTTATTGAATTTACATTTATTGGTTTTGATGAAGAAGAATTGTTATATTGTCAGTGCAAAAGATGTAACAATAACCTGTTTCGGTTTAAAAGAATCATAAATAAACACTTAATCATAATTAGGATAAGAAGAGATTATGTTATATATGTGATCTTAATGAAGAAGTAGTAAAGGAACATCACAAATATGGTGATAAACAAAATTATAATGAGATTCATATTATGTTACATGATCTTGGAAATGCTTTTAATGAAGAAGGCAACAAAGAAAAGAAGGAAGTAAGTTATACTACAAGTCCAAAGAACAAGAACATGAATAAAAAAAAATCAAAGTTTTATAAACTATTAGAGGTTGTTGAAGAGGAACTATATTCTCATTGAAAAAATTTCTCAAAATTAGCATTTATTATTCAATTATTAAACATCAAATTTATCTTTGATTTGAGTGCAAAAACAATTATTTGTGAAATTGGGTATGCTTACGCAAAAATTAATGTTTGCATTAATGATTGTATTCTTTATTGACGTGATTATTTGAAATTAACATCTTGTCCAAATGTAAATTTTCTCAATATAAAGATCTAGACAAAAAGTTACCCAAAAAGTTATGAGTTATTTCCCTTTAATCTGAAGATTACAACAATTGTATCTATAAGTTAATATTGCTAAAGAAATGAAATGACATAAAGAGGCATCCAGTGAACTCTAAGAATTTTGATTCACAATATCCATATTTTGTGGTAGATTCACGCAATGTTAGACTTGACCTTACAAGTGATGATTTCAATCCATTTAGAGATATGATTACCTCATATAGTGTGTGACCCATAGTTTTAATTCCTTATAATTGATCACCTTAGATGTGTATGAAAGATCCTTATTTCATAATGTCAACACTTAATCCATGTTTAAATCTCTTGGAAATAATATTGATATGTATTTACAACATTTGATTGATGAATTGAAAGAACAATGAAAGAATGATTTAAAGACACGATGCATCAATGAAAGAAATATTTCGGTTACTTACGTCAATTTTATGGATTTTTAATTATTTTTTTGCATATGAAAATATATGAGGATAAAGTAAAAACAAAAAAAAAATTAAAATTTACTTATCTTTGTTATAATAAGATACATGATCCTTAAGTTTACCGAGTAAAAAGAAACTTATTATATGAGAAGTAGTCAATTTTTGCCTTTGATCATTCTTGGAGAAGTAATGCAAAATCTTTGATGAAAATAAATAAAAAAGAGACCCCTCCCAAATAATTATGTGGAGATGATATAGTTCAACAATATCAACCCTTTAACGTTTATGAAATATTAATCATTTAAGTATACTATGTGTTTTTATTATTTTTAATAATATAATTAAATATTAAATCTCATTATGTTTATATTATTTTTTTAATTTAAATATTAAAATAGTTATCTTATATATATATATAAAAGATAGAATTAAATTTAATAAGATATTTTTTTCTTATTCATTTTAATATAAATTTTAAATTTAAAAAATATAACCAAATAATGTAATTTACTAAAATAAAATCAAATTAATATGAAAATATGGTATAACACGATAACTAACTTTATCTGTTTTATATAATTCTTTAAATAATTTAAAAATTTAAACTAATGATTTTAAACGTAAATTTAAACTAGTGATTTTAAAAGATAAAAAAATATTTAGAAAACTAACTTTGGTTTTAAATATAAAATTTAGGGTTCAAATAAAAATATTATTTTTATATTATTTATTTAAATAATTTTTAAAACTTAAACTAATATTCCCAAACGTATATTTAAAGTAATATTTTAAAAAGATAAAACAACATTATATATTTATTTTATGCTAAATGACTTTTTATATTAAATGATATAGCATATATATATATATATATATATATATATATTTAATATTATTGTTCGAAATATTATTTTTTTAACCCCTCCCCTTATATTAAGAATATTTACTAATTATTTATCGGGTCAAGTTTTTCCCAGAGACGCCGAACTGGTAAATCCATCCCCATTGCTTGTACTTCATATAGATTCATCTTCACTCCTCTTTCATAAAAATAATATACTTTCTTGAAATCCAAAAACTTAATATATATATATATATATATATATATATATATATATACATATATTTTTTTCAGATATTTTAATTTGAAATAAAAATAAGTTATATGTTTAAAATTGTTTAATAAGAAACAATTTATTTTTTTATATTCTGAATTTTAGTTCGGATTGCATTTCCAAATTATGCGTGCGATAAATCTTTTAGAAAAGGCTATTCTTAAACCTATTTCGCGTCCCAATCAAATAATATTTTCTTTCCAAAAAGCATGGATGGTGTTTTTTTAGGAAAAAGATAAATTAACAACGACAGGGAAAAGATAATACCGTCACTCTTTATTTTTTTTACTAAACAGCATGTAGGTTTTACTAGGATTGGAAAAGATTGCAGAGGTACATTTATCAGTATTCTTTCCTCTTCTTTTTTCATGTTAGACTAACTTAATATATTATATTTAAACCCTGCTTGTGTGAACCTTGAGTATTATTCAGTTCATGAATCATGCCTATCGTACCAACTATGATTGGATAGATCATTGTGTTGGAAAGTGTTTTTCAAATTATAGATGGTCTAGTGTTCTGAGACGTTACATTGAGTCTGAAGATATGTTAGAGAGTAGTGGTGTGGATGACATTGTGATGTTGAGTCGTTATCAGTCCATTGACAAGGAGGACTCTGAAAACTTCTTTTATATGTACTCCTCATTATTTTTTTCTATTCATATTCACCTACCATGCCTTACACATAAAGCTACCATAACAAGTATTACATTTTTATCAAGAGTGTGTGGTAGAGTCCGGAAAAGAAAAGCAGATGGAAGTTGTCAAAGACGGTGGTCAACAGGTGCCTGACCTGTTACCACCAGATGTAGAGGTCAAGAAGAAACATAAAGGGAATGAGATAGAGGTTCGAATGTATCACAACTCTTCACCTCGTCCATTCCTCAAAAGAATGCGAACTCAGATATCGAGCCTGGGATCAAGCTCTTGTACGCTAAACAAATTTTTGGGTTCTGAACATCAATCAGGATCAAAGGTGGCTGCGGAGATGACGACAACTGAAAAAGATATATATACCTCAACAGATCCGACCGAGATGTTGCAAGACTTTATTGAGTTACAAGTTCATGCATTTGTCCATGACAAACAAATGGGTTCAAATATCCTCAAGGTCAATACTACACCGAGTTAAACTGCGTGAAAGGTGAATTGGTTGATAATTTACCTGAGGTGTTGGAGGCTAACTCGATGCTGAACACCAAGTTCTTCAAATTGGATGGTCAAGTTTCAAGTTTGAAGGCGGACAATATGTCGCATGTAGGGATTGGTGTATGATGTCGAATGCAGCCAAGAGACTAAAGCTCGATGTTAAGGATTTGGAGCAGAAATTGACCAAGATGACATTGGCTAAGGAGGCAAAGTTAAGTATGATGAAAGAATAGGTACGAAGAGAGGTGTGTTCTTCCAGAACATGTTGAAGGTTTTCATAAGGTTGCTCAACAAGTGTTTTTCTTTCCTAAGCAGGGTATTCTACTAAGTGAGGCAAGCATAATATCGACAATGGCACACAGAGGTCGAGGGCTTCTTCTGATGACTTCATACAAGACCAAGATTAAGAAATGTGTTCCATGTCCTTGGAATGGGTTTATGTAAAGTTCTTCATCGTTTGTAAGCTTTGTTGTCTATGCAATTCATCCCTTATAGGGTCCTTCCCAATTTGAAAAGAATTTTCCCCCTCTTCGTCTTTTCGTGCGTTGTTGTGTACCACCCTTTAGCCGTAAGTCTACATGCTTCTTCTCAATTTTTGGCTTTATCTCCTAAGTCTCTGAAGATATCTAATTTTGCTTCTTCAACTCTTTATTAAACACTGGTTGGTACAAGATAATAGACCAATATTAACTTATTTCTTTTAAATTTCAAAATATTTTTGAAAGTTGTGTAATATTTATCATTTATATTTATATTTAAGACAAATTCGTACCAAAATTAGGAAAAAAAAACTATAATGACGAGGAAAAGGCAATTTAACTAGCCATACTAGTAATCAAATATAATTTTTTTATTAATGATATTTGTTTATAGCAAGTGATTAAAATTTATTAGAAATAATACAATTGTATATCCTTTATTTTTCATTAATGCTATCCTCCTAATGCTTAATTCATTAAAGGTTATATTTATGATTATTAGCATTTTAATCATTTTGATGGAAAATACATAAATAAACTTAAACATTTTCTATTTTATAATAAAAAAATTAAGATCTAAAAATGAATAAATTCCAATTAAAAAGTTAAAGGAATGGAAATAAATAATACTTAGATTTAAATGGTTTGATTGAAAGAATAATAATTTCTTAAATAATACATATAAATTTAAATTAGAGTAAAAAGAAAATGTAAAATATTTTTAAAAATAAAAATAAAAATAAATGAGATCTATGTTGAATTAAAATAAAAGCCATAAAATAAAAGTATAATAAAAAACAAATAAAGAATAAAAAACACTAAATAACTAAAAATGAAAAAAAAGAATATAATTCATAAAAAAAATAAAAGTGATTATTAATTTTTACCATTCATTATTTTAAGAATTACAAAAAAATATAATATTTTAGAAAAGTGTCAAAATAAATTTAATATAATATGTCGGTCCAATGTTAAGTAAAATTAATTGTAATTTAAATTGAATCAAACTTCATTTTATTTGTTAAATTAAACTAACCAAGACTTATTTTATAAAATAATAAATATTTTTTGAATTAAAAAATATTATTTTATTATATATATATATATATATTTTATAAATTAATAAGATAAATGGTTCACCAATAAATTTTTAATATTCATTTGAAGATTTAATAATTAAAATAAATTATTATTTTAGTGATCTAAATTAAGATAAATTATTATTTTAGATCATTAATTTAACTTTTATATTTTGAAGTAAACGAGTTTATCTTATAATTTATGTATTAAATTATTATATTAAAAATAAAAAAATATTTTAGTAATATAACTTAAATTTTTAACTAAATTTTTTTATTTTTATTTAAAAATATTTTAATTTTTTAAATTAATTATGTTTTATATCAATATATTATTGATTATTTTCTTTTAATTTTTAACCAAATCAAAATTAATATTATTAACAAAATAAGAAAGAAAAATAAAATAAAAATTATGACTCATTTTAAAATATTTTTAAACTATTTATCATGTTATATGTTTCTCATTTTAACAATTTATATTTTCTAGTATGTTTTTCATATATTATATAATCTTTGATCCTTCTAATTATAAAACCTCGTAGACAATTAATAATTAAAAAAAAGTAATGTGTTTATTTTAATTATAAATAAATTACTGACAAGGGTTTTATTTCTAAATACTCATATATATTCGACACTTATTTAAAATTAATTTGCTTTATTAACTGATTTATTTACATCACTTTTTGATATTATCTCTTGGCAATTTGGGATTGAAAAATATTTTCAATCTCCTTCTTCTTATTAATTTTCCATATTTTATCCATAGTAGTATGACAAACCATGTTCTCTTACAGAATTCTCAATAACATGAATCTTTTTCATTCTTCTTCAATGTCAAATAATATATTATTAATAAATAATAAAAAAATATAAAAAATAAAAAAATATATTAAAAAAATAGATATCAAATTTATAAATATTATTAATGACAAAAAAAAATACTTTTGAAGAAGATATAAATTTAGGATAATTTATTACTATACTAAATTAATTTTTTTTATCACAAGAGATTATTGAATTTTACAAATAGAAACATACAGTCTTTTTTATAAATAAAACAGAGTCTTTCATACACGCGTGTTTGATACATTATATTAAATGAGTAGAAACTGTTACAATAACAAGTAAGATCATAAAACTGTTGCATTAACTTATGGGGTAAGATCATAAAAAAAAATGTAACTGTTACAATAACAAATTCAAAAAGTAACTATTAAATTACAGATAAAGTTATAAGGAAATATGTATCAAACACAGTTAGTTAAAATGAATCTGTTTTGTTACTATTTATAGATATTTAAAAAAATAACAATTACTCATTTTGATAATCTTATTAATTTAAATATTATTATTTAGCACAACAAAAAATATGTATTCCTTTACCAAAATTAAGTAGAACTTATGAGAATGCATTTTATTCTAGTAAAATCGTTTTCATTACCATCACTGAACTAACAGCTTGAAACACAATTCTCAGAAAACAGACACTAACTAACCACAAATTCCCGTTAGTTAAAAGCCCTACAATTTTTCCTAATCTCTCCATTTGTCCCAACCAAAACCCTAATGCTCCCCATCTTCACAATAGCATCAACGAAACTCTTCTTGAAAGCCGCACTATTCCCAGCAAAAGTCGACACCAACCTACTCGACAAAGGGTCTGAAGCCAATTGTTGATCAATAAAAAGCACACCCCTCTTTAAAATGATTTGCTTATAGAATTCATTGTCAAAAACCGTGGACGTCTTTTGGTCCAAAAAAGCCGTCGGATCTTGGCCCATGGGTCTACAAGTCTGGCCTAACTTGGCCCGCAAATTAGGGTCCATGTTGGAGTCGTTGAGCCTGTCGCGGAAGAAATTACAGTGCGCGAATCCCACCGTGTGTGCTCCCAAGAGTGCGATCATTTCATCCAATGACAGGCCATTTGCGGTGAAGGTTTGCTGCGCCTGCAACACAGTCGAACGTGGTCCTGGCAAGAACACTTCGGCGGCTCTGGACACGAGACCATCACGCCTTCCTGTTGGGACATTGTATCGGGGCCCACCTGCCATGGCCACGGAATCGCGTGTGGCTAGGGTTATTATATCTGCGCATGAAACCGTTGAAGGACATGCAGTTTCTAAAGCTTTTTTTATATCGTCTATTAGCTTGAACCCCCGAACGGTACCGTTTGCCCCTGCGGCTTTCTCCGATTTCTCCGATTGGTTGCCCCTGTTTGAGTCTATTAATATGGACGCGTCACAGCCCTGAAAAAGACGTTGCGAATGAATGTGAACGAGAGAGAAATTAGTATTTGAGTTTAAAAACTTTTATGGTGGAATTATACTTTAAAATTAAGTCTATTTTGCTTAACTTAAATCAGAAAAGGAATTTTAAAAACAAATACTTTAGTTTTTGAAAAATAAATATTTGATTGAGTACTTAAACGTATTTACATTTAGTCAAACAATTTAAATGAAAATTGATCCTTAAACTTTATAAATCAATGTTAAATTAATTTTATAATTTAGTGTCAAATTAATTATTAAAAAAAAATAGACATATTAGTATGACACTCAAATGATACTAATATCCATGTACTATTATTTCTAATTCTTGAATACATAGTAATAGTCACATAAACATGTTTATTGTACTTATTACATATTTAACTACTAAATTATATTTTTCTTTATATATTTACACTTTTAAAAATAAAAAATGAATAGTTAAGTTGTTCAAGGAAAGTAATAGAAAAGTTATATATTATGTTAATAAATCAAACATAAAATACGAGTTAGTGATATAAACCTTATTTTCTTCCAAATCAATTTCTCCTAAACAAACTACATCTAACAAGAGAAAAATTATATTATAAAAGCTAAAATAATGTGATGATTAGTAGTTTAAGATGTAAAAATCCAAGTAAGTTAGTTTGGTCTTACTCTGACAAAGCAATCATGAAAGTGCATGCGTAGCAAGCCACCAGTAATGGATCGATCCCGGTTGAATCTCCTTTGAACAACTTGTCGAACGATTTTCTCTGCTCTGGGGCAGCTAGAGTGATAGAATCCAACTCTCAGATCACCAAATGCAATGGGAAAGACAAGGAAAAAGATAAGAATCGTGAAGAACTTCATTTTGTGTTAATCAGTGTTGGTGGTGTGTCATAGAAACTGAATACGAGTGTGTATATATAGTAGTGAGGGCACTGAACAAAAGTCACAGGTCAAAGTTGTGTTATTAGTTTTATTGTTCTTTTTCCTTGTAAAAAGGACACTTGGATTTTGGAATGAATCTTTGAGGAACCGTGCTGTTGAAAGATTAATTTAGTTGCGTGGTATGTGTTGTTTTTTATGCAAAAAGAGTTAGAGAGAAACAAAACTTTTTAAAAATTCATAATGCCAACTGGCTAACTTTTAGGAAAATTATGGGATATATAGACGCGGTTTTGAATATTGCACTTAATATACTGACTTTAAATTTGTGCACGAAAACAATAGCAATTTTTGTGATGCAAGTGTTATGAACCACACATTTTTTTTATTTAAGTTTGATGGTTTCACATCGTTTTTTCTCAGTCACTTGTTATTGTGTACTAAAAACTACGCCATTTTTGTTAAGAAAACGCGTTTTTTCATACTCAGATTTTATTATGTGCACTTTGATGACAAAAGTGTGCATATATGTGAGAGAGAAACTCAATTTCCATTCCATAGAAATAGGGTAAAATATGTGTGTGAAAATGATTTTATTTTTTTTAAGTGTTGGGTGATTTGACATTTTTATAAGAATTGCAAGGTTATATATAATACTAGACGAATATTTTTCATGGAAATTGGATTTTACACTAAAACATAGATCACATACCTGCATAATTTGCCAATTAAAGCCATGAGACATGTTTATGTAACTTAGTAAGATTCACGTTTATATATGTTTATGACAAGTATAATTTCTCTGTTGAATAATTGTACTGGATCTCTCTGTTATATTACAATAATCAGTGTTAATTTGCATTATTTTTGTAAAATAAAATCCTAGTCCTTCAGTTTTATTTAACTATAATAATTATTTTTTAATAGACTAGGCACCGTCTATATTGTTATTTTACAAAGAACACTTCTTACATCAGTTTCAGTTGAAATTCATTATCGGTGGAAACGTTGATATATATATATATATATATATATATATATATATATATATATATATATATATATATATATATATATATATATATATATATGAGAGAGAGAGAGAGAGAGAGAGAGAGAGAGAGAATAAAAATAAAAATAAAAAATATTTTTCTTTTATCTTAGAACTGGTGTTGAAAAAGTATTTACTTAACTGATGTAAATGAAGATTTCTATATTAATTATTTTACACTCAATTTAGAAACTTATATAAAAAAATTACAAATTTAACATAACCATTTTTTAATAATGTGTTTTGGGTAATCTAATAATGTATTTGAATTTATTAGAAAACGTCGTTGTTGATTAGAGTTCATCAAGCCGTTATTATATGAAAAAAAATGTACTGGCAACTCTGATTATATACAACTAGATCATGCCATTCTTATACTGTCGCATGATGTTCACGAACTCAATAATGTCATATTTAACTTACTGGCTCTAAGAAAGATAAGAATTTAATTAATTAGTAATAAGCAGACTCACAAATAATTAATAAATTATTCTTTATTGATTTCAAAGTTAGAATACCTTTTACACATGTCCCACTCCACACACTCTCAGATTATGCAGTTGCGTCTTGGGTTAAGACGAAACCCTATTTTGTGTCATTCAGCAACTAGCAAAATTAAAAATGCTGCGTGTGCGTGCATACACGGATATATATGTTTTGCAGATATACAGTTAAAAATTAAAGGTTACTTATTCTATCTATAGTTTCATGCCAAATTATAAAAAAGTAGGCAAAATTGTTTATTTGTTCGCAGAAGAGTTATGGGTATGGTGTGGACCACGCGTTTCGACCAAGAAAATAGTCCCTTACATTCCAGGCACATGGATGGCTAATATATATAAAATATCCAATGGATTAGATTGGTTTTTGTTACCTATTAGCTTATATAAAATTATGAAAGTAAGAACTTGGCATAAAACATAGTGAATCCGTGATTCTTTGTCGTAGATTATGAGCAAAAAAGGTTATGGCAAGTGGTAAGGGCCACATGCCCGCATGTTTTCATCTCTTGTACCACTTCTTCATCCCTAATTAAATTATCATATTATAAGGTTTAACTATGTATAGGAAAGGGTGCTGTAAATGAAAAGTGTTAAAATGCATTGCAACTTGGCTTGGTAAAACTGGCATATGGCACTTTGAAAATAATAACTTGGCTCAGTAAACCTAAAAGAAATCTTCCTCTCTTGTACATATTTTACATCCATCGAGAAGTAAGTGGTAAATATAGTTCAAAAGTATATCAAGGATACATCTCCACTTGTCCAACTTTTACTATCAAGCATTTTCTTATATTTAACCAAGAAATGCTTCCTTTCTACAGAGTCGTTCCTCTTTTATTTGTGGAGAAAAGAAAAACAAATATAAGAATTTTAAGAGTTTCACCGCTCCCTTCACTTATGCGGATAAGTTTGTTTATTTCAACGTAAGCTAATGTTGGTTCTCTTTATTGAGTTCACAGAATAAACGAAATTTTGTTTAAAATATATGTGAATGCTAAAAGTTGTACGGTAATTTATATAATTTTTTTTCTTAATCTAGTTGTATTTTAAGGATATAATCGTGATAAATGATTTTTTTTCTTAAAATATATGTGTATGTTAAAAGTCTTATATTACTTAACAACGATGCTTATAAGAAATTTTCGTAGCAATTTGGCGTGGCAGCAACAATTTTGAAAAGTTAAGCACCATATCTTGTAGAAGCAATGTTTCTAAGAGTTGTTTTTCCCAATTTTTTTAATTTGTTTCCGCTAGTGACGGACCTTGACCATTTATCTTAAGGAGTCAAATAATATATTATTAATAAATTTTAAATAAATATAAAAGAAAGAAAGAAGATGAAAGGGTGAAAAGATAAAATTGTAGATATATACTTAAACATTAAGTTTGAGGGGGACAAAATCATAAATTATATGAGAGTTACAAAGCGAGGAATGACTGAGAGGATAAAATTGTAAATAAACATGTAAATATATTAAATATTCATTAAATTTGAGGGGGCCAAAATCATAAATTACATGAGAGTTACAAAACTTTGGAGGGGGGCACGACCCCCCTTAGCTCCCAAGAAGATCCACCACTTCCCATTGTTCTCACCAATAGAATTCAACAAATCGAGAAAATGCAACAAATCGGAGAGGAATGTTCACGCGGGTCCCATTAAAGTCAAAAGTGGTAGTTGAATGGTGAGTTGCTTATAAGAATTCACTATTTGAGTGAATTTGTAAAAATTTAAAGAGAGTTGTTTAAATATGATGTGGCACTGTGGGTTCCACTTAAGAATCCAAAGTGGGTTCTTATAAGAACTCACAATTGAAGATGCTCTAAAACCAAAACATAATCAAAATACTAAAATAAGTAAAAATAAGTGATATAAAAAAATACTAAAAATAACATATATCATAATAAAGTCAAAATGTTTAATCAATAAAATTAAAATATTACTTAAATTTTTTATTTAATCTTATGTTTTCATTCATCATTTTTTAGATCAATGTCAATGAGATCATATTCTTTCTCTAATATAACATTTTTTTATAGCTCATCTTCATCCTTTTACTTAATCTCTTTGACCATCTCTTTAATTTCATTACCATTTGTTATTATGATAGAGTTTCCCTTTTTGTTAATCTTAGTGATTAATTTTTTTGGACCTATTAAGGAAAAAAAAACTTATAAGTTTTGTAACATTTATGATTAATTTAATTGTAAGTTTTACGGCTTAAACAAATATATCTTTTCTTTTTCTTGCATGGAGCTTCGTCTTCAAGAGTAAAAGATTCAAGTATATCCATCAATGAAGCATCATTTGATATGTATTGATCCTCCTTTTTAATAATCCATTTATCATATGATTTAATATCCTATAGACATATAGGATCATAAGTATCCATTTTCTCCTATCTAACCTATTGCTTCATCTCAAGTTGAAGACTATATTTAACAAAGACAAAAACATTTTTTCTTTATTGCTCTAAGCGATTTCTTCTTATAATATGCACTTAATCAAATTTATTCTAATTTCTTTTGCATATAGTAATACTACAAGTAAGACTTAAAATCCCCATTGTTAGATTTTGTAATTCTTTATCCTCTTCACCATAACTTTCCCACCAAAGAGATACAATTTCAAATAAAAAGTCAGCATGTATAATTGTCACTAGTGCAAAAATGTCTTTCATTGTGTTATTTACATTAATTGGTTATATGAGAACTGACTTAAATGTAAACGGGGGAAATTTTTATAATAATTGATAGACTTTCTACATCGATTGTTAATACAACTGATATAAAAAGTCCTTTATATACTATCATTCCACGTATTCTCATTTTTTCATTGTTATCCTAAAATTTCTTCTTTTTATTGTGTCATCGTCATCATTGCACTTACTCAAACCTCATCCTCTATGAAGATCATCCTCTCTGAAGCTTCTCCTTTCTGAAACTCTTCTTTAAAATTCATCATCTTCAAAGTTTTTTCTTTTCAGAGTTCCTTCTGTCCTCCAAAGATTGCTTAACTACCATAACAGAACAAAATTACTACGTAATTATCCAGTTATTTGCAGTCACCCTAATGTGAAAAAGAACTAAGATAAAACTCTTCTATGTTATTTAGGACATTGTCACTATATCTCTCAGTCATTGCCACCCTGCGTCTCTCTTGTTGTCATTATTCCAAGTAAGTATGTCACTTTTATTTCTTTTGCTGATTATATGATAAAGTTTACTAAGAATGGACAAAAAATTATCGTTGATGTTGTATATTGTTATTGATATTGATATTGTTCTATTGTATTATGTGGGAATATATATATATATATATAAAATAATACTTCATCGATAATTATGTGTGAAAATATTGACATTTACAAGTGCAATACATATTTTTTTAAGTAGACATATAATATCAATTGCAAAAGAATTTGATA